ACATGCCTGCCACAATAAAAAAACTCCATGTGAGATCTTTTTTTGATCTTGAATCTGATTGCTAAAACTAAATTACAGTCAACTGATACGTTGCCCCTTCAAGATTGATATGCATTAGACTTGTATACAGATACATGTACTATGAAAACAAAAGGAAAAATAATTTCCTACGGATTTCATGATCTTCTGTGAGTGAAGATAAACTGCATGTGGATATGCCACCAGTAAATTTGACACCAAGTACCTATTATAATAACAGTACATTTGAATCTTTGTGTACAAAACTAACCTTAGTTTTAAGTGAATAGTATATTGTAGAGCCACTGTGTAGCATTTTACATGGGCTATATGCAGTGATGAAGTACATGAAACTTTTGTTTTGTTTTGTTTTTATGTTTGTTAAGGGAGCACCTTTAAATAAAAAACAAACAAACTGGCCTGTTGTTGGGGGGGGAAATTAGTATTAGCTCAGGTGCTGACATAGGTCTGGACATCTAGAACAGCTTTACCAACAGGTCTTGTTAATTTTTATTTCTTTTTCTGACTTACCTTTTTATGAAAGATAAGGAAGGCAAACCATCCAGATAAAGAGAGGAGTGATAATTCAGTAGTTCCTTCATAACTTTAGATAAAGCATTTAAGTCAAATCCACTTAATTCCTTTTTAAATGCTAGAAGCCTTATTTAGTTCAATGGTTCCTACAGAGGATTTAGAGAATCCAGATTCTACCAAAGTGTCCGCATTTATTTTCTCGAGGCTAAAGTATCCTGAAACACTGGAGTTAACAAAATAGTTGAAAGGTGTATTCTCTAACTCAAGGCATTGTCTGGGGTTCTTCTGTGACCTTTCATCTCTATGCAATTTGCAACAAGAGCGTATTGGTACTTCCCTATTTCAGAGAGACAATTTGCATCCTGAAAAAATACAGTTAATTTTACCAGTGGTAAGTATTGTTTTTAAAAACAAGTCTGATTCGGTTTCTGATTTTACCAGTGGTAAGTATTGTTTTTAAAAAGTCTGATTCGGTTTCTCTGCTGGTATTAGTGTATTTCAGCTACCCTGGTTCTAAGGCAAATGATATAGATAAAACTTTTCTTAGCCCTTTTCGGCTGCTTTTTCAATTTAATTTCCTTTGTGGTTACATGCTGTACTTATTTTTAACAGCTGCAACATTTTAAAAGAAAATTGACAGAAAAGGACTGGGTTGTTTTTTTTCTTCAAGTTGATATAGTCCATTCTGTAAGAATTGTACTATTTCTTTACACAATAGTCAAGCTTATTTCTTTAAGAAAAGGCAGATACATATCTTAATTCAATCACATAATAGATTGCAAGGTTTTCAGAAAACAAAGTATGTTAAAGCTCTGATATGAAACCTTTATTATACAGTAAGTTGTATCTGTGTTGTGGAGATTATTTTAAAAAAGAATAATAAATCTGAAATAAAATAGAAGAAAAAAAGATTGGGGTGCGTGTCCTGGGTAAGTGTTTTGACCTTACTATCTGGAGTAGTTTCAGTTGGTGTTCAAGAAATACTGAGCCTTTGCTGAACCCCTTATTGCATACGCAGTTTTGTCCTTTCTGATGCCATGCATTTGTTATAATGTCATTCATTAATTTGTTGTTGTTGACTATAGTCTAATTTTAGTTGTTTATATTTTGCAAGGAGTCCGCTGGTCACAGTATAAACTCTTTCCAAGGCTTGACACATGACTGTTTCACTCACTTATGCAAGAATAGATCTGTGGAAACTTTCTTTTCATCATCTCCTTTACTTTGAGATGAAATAGGGTATTTCTGATATTTATTTTCTGAGGACAATACAAGAGCAGTCCTTTCTCAAGTAGATAATAATCAAGTAGTCAGAACATTTCCACAATATAGAAAAACTAGTTTCAAGTCTTTAATGCTTCATTTTCACACCAGAAACTGAATGTGAATTTCTTCCTTCTCAAGTGAGTGCCTGACCAGCAGACTATTGATTTTTATGACAGGTTCATTTTCTCTCTGGCTTTGGCCATGGTATCCACTGAGAAATGTTCTTATCTGTGATTAAGATTACTTTTTTCTTCCCTTGTAAATAAAATATTCACGTAATAAAAATCACCATAATATAATTTTCTACTTATTCCAGTTAAGGTCATTCTAGTTGCAGACACAGCAGTCTATATTTAGCTTACCTGCGGAGCAGATGAGTTTGTCATTGTATACTGAATATTCCAGGCTGGACTGTGGGACAATCCAGTGGCCTATATGATGTTGTGACTTGCTGCTGTATATTGTGTAACTGGCTCTCTAACCTGCGATAAAGCATATGGCATTCTTTGTGTAAAAATAATCAAAATTTATAGGCCACTGAAATATTTCTTGATCGTGATCTCTGATTCTTCTCTTGGAGAGTATATAAGAGATGCAGTATGCACTCCTACTGGCATCTGAGCATCAGTACTATGGCTGTAATGGTGTCATGAGAAAGTAGTTTGTAACTGTTCCAGTGATGTGATGAGATGGGTCATTCTAATTAATAGCATTTTAGAGATTGTAATTTTGTAGCATTTGCAGGTGGGAAGGAGACATACATTTGTCTGGATACACTGCAAAAATTAACTTTAATTTTACCTAGATGCTATTAATTCAGTCTTTCAGATTGGGTTACTCCTGTTTATGAGGCTAGAACCAGGTTATATCTTTATATAAAGTTAATATTTTGGGTACTGTATTGTGAAGACACTTCAATTAAATGTTGCACGTAACTTTTGACCTGGGATATGCTTACTTTCCCAATGTGTAGTGTTACAGCTTTGTCTTCTGGCAGTGTCATTGAGGTTCCAAATGCCATTCTCAAAATTTCCATTTCAGAGGAACTCCTATCTTATGGTTGCCTAATTCTGGATTTTGTTCAGAGGAACTATTTTATGCATACTTCTTCATGTTGTCAAAGGCAACGTGATCACCACACTTAGGGAAGAAAAAGAATTTTTTCCTCTTCAAGTTAATGGGCAGTATCATAGGGAAGGAGGAGAGAGATGGGGGATCACAGCATTATCATCTTTGATAGCCTGTGCAGTTTGCTGGTGCCACTCTCTCTCCTCCTGTCTGCGTGTTACCATCCCTTGAGAACTAAATTATTTCACTTTAATAAGGATATGAAGCTCTCTGTGAAAGTATTTCTGGACATTGTAAACTGTGACGGTGATGGCTTTTTGGCCACAAGCTTTATATGTCCTTCCCTAACTTTTCAGCTGCACTTAACATGTCATTTGCCATCCTGTGCCCCCATTCACTGTATTTTTTACTAGTGTGTCCCGTTTGAAATCTAGGGATTTGGAGTGCTGTGGTATTCCCTCCATGTGATGTAGTCATCTATTTGAAATTTTCGTTGGCCCATAGGTTTGAATTCAGAAGAACCCATTCTGATAAATAGCTATAGAAAACATCTATGATCCTCTTTGACTACAATATGAATGTATTAATGCTATTTAATATTTAAAATTTAAAATTAGGACAAAAGCATTGAATAAGTACTCATACTTTGCTTACTTTTTAATATAGAAGTGCAAGTAATGCTCCAGTATAAAGAAAAAAAACTTTGCACCAGGAATGAGTGTTTCTGCATATATGCTTTCATACAAAAGATGTTGTGACTGTGAAGGGCAATGCACAATGCAGTTTGTCTTTGGTGACCTTAAAAACATCATCTAGAGAAAGTATGTTACCAATGAAAGATGTGAAGAACACATGATAAAATAATCTTAGTTGAATGTAGCAGGTATCATTTAGGGATGTACTACTTGCAAGTGTTTTAGCAGCTGCATACTGGCTTTACTTGCAATTCTCTTTTCCTGCTATTTAATGAGAAGGATTTAAATCATTCTATTCATAAAACCTTGTTGATATTTTTGGTCTACAGCCTAGACAGATATAGTTATTTTGGTGAAAATCTGAATGTGAAATAGCTAATTCCATTTTCCTATTTACTTTGCAAGAAGGCTGTAATTAACACTATTTATAGAGCCCTTCACCATGATTTGCACTTAAGCATGTGCCCAAGCTTGCTTATACAGGGCAGTACTTCAGCACAGAAGTGATTACTGGTGCTGGAGTGGAGCTTAGACTCTCCCTGCCATCCTTTGCTGCAGGGATTCCACATGCAGATCAGAGCGTTCACTTGACTAAAAACAATCTCTTACCCTAGTTTCATTTTTGTGGTGTTTTGTGGTGTTTTTGTTTGTTCTGTTTTGGGTTTTTTTTTTGTAGTGGCGGGGGTGTTTGTTTGTTTTAAAAAGGCTTATCTAATAAATATTTGCTTGTCATATAATCAAATTACCATTTCTGAAACAGTCCGCTGCATCAAAGCATTAATGCATCCGTAAATATGAACATGATCATTCACACTACATATGGCAATACTGAATGACCTCAGACTTCCCTGAACTTCTGTGTGTGATGTAACAGTGCTGTTTCAAAAATTTTTTGTTTGGTTGGGTTTTTTTGTGGTGGATGGTTTGAGGTTTTTTTCCTTAGAGGTGTGATGCCAATTAACAGTGTGCGTATACGTCAGATATTGTGGGCACAAAAAGCACATCTGCCTATTTAGGATGGATGGCAAATGCTTTAGCAAAGATTATAGGATGCCACAACATTATCAGTTTTTGTGCTATTGTAACATTATAACTGTCAAGTGCATATGCTACAAGACCTCAGTTTCACAAAACTTAATTACAAAGGTTTGAACTTTGGTGTGAAATTGGCAGAGTAGTTATTTCTGTTATTTGGTGTCTTGCAGATTTAAAAAACAATTTGTTAATGATACTAGAAGACTTAGTTTTAATCTTTGCTGAAAAAGTTAATATAATTTAAGAAACAAGCGATGTATGACCATAATAGTCATCACCTTAGTGTAAGATTGTTATTAAGCTAAAAAATTCTGTCGATTATTTGATATGTCAGCTATCTCTATACTAAATATGAAAGTAGCAAAAATAAATTCCTCTTGCGACATGTACAATGAAGTGTACAGGTAAGTGAAAATATTACTTTAAACTCATCCAGGTTACTCAATCAGCTGATTACTTTATACTCCAGTTTCATAGTGACTGAGAAACGCAGCACTAAATGTATAGTAAAGTCAGGATAAAAGTAATTATTTGATATAACAGCCAATACATTTTAAGGGAAGAAATCCATCCCCATCACTACCTCCAGACTGCAGAGCACAGTTGTGGCAGCATGCAATTCAGTCAGTACCAGGGATGCTGAGTTTTGCAAGGGGGAAGCTGTAAATCTGAGTGACTCTGTGATATACTCTGTTCCAACCCATTGTTCTTAAAAAGTCAGGAGTGGAAAGACACAGAAATACGTCTTAGAGTCTCGTACTGGGGTCATACTTGAGCAGTTACAGCAGTTTCCCATCACATTGTTTTTGAGGACACCAACTTCATTGTATATGCTGTATTTGCAAATGATGAAATGTAATCCTAGCAAACACAGTTAGTTAAAAGGTGAAAGTAGCCACAGCACCTTTTGCGATTTTTGCAAGAAACAAAAAATATTTTCTTAAACTAAAAGACTGATGTTTAATTTGGGCCTGGACGTGGTAGAACTGGCATAGAGACCCCCCCACATGCACATCTACTCTGGCAGCTAATAGTAGCAAAATTTCTCTCCTTGAATTCTGACATGGGCAGTTAATTATCTGGACCAAAATGAATTACCTAGAGCATCTGACAGCTGGAATAAATGGTACAAACTCTGTTTCTCAGCTGTGAAGTGAACTTGTCTTAAGTCTCTGTTATGTGAAGAATGAAGAGATAAGGAAAGGAAGGCAGTAAAGCTTCTGGCTCAGTTGTGCCCTATTGGCAAACAGAAAGTGAAGGGATTGCCTCTGCTTGTGTGAGGATACTTGTAGCATTGGTCTGCCTGCTTTCTGGCTGAGACGTATTCACACATGGTGATGAGCATTCAGTACAGCTCTCCATAGAGATTACACTCTGCAACACTTTATCCTCACACATAGCATCACAATTTTCAGTTGCCGAATTAGGCTGAGTGGTGAACACTTCTATGACTTGCAGGGCAACAGTTTGGCACAGAGAGTTTGAAGTTTGTAATAGCATAACAGTAAGTGAGGCAGGTACAAATGTATGTCCAGAAGTTAATAGAAAATACTAATGTGAAGACAATAATACCTCACCTGAGTAGGTTGTTCTTAACCTTTGAAATGAGGTCTACCAACTCTCCTCAAGACTGTGTTTCGGTTTGATGTGAGCAACTTCTGATAAATCATAATCAGATGCAAAAGTTGCATTCAGCAGTGTCTGAATATATGAAGAATTCTTCTGTTTTTCTGACTAGTGGGCAATTTTAATTGAATATTCTGTATTAATTTTTTTATTTTTTTTTTAATTGATCAGTAGCCTATGACCACTGCCATAGGATTTGAAATCAGTTTTTTCCCACTCTGGGAGAAAGACCAAAAGGGAGGTTTTTAAATAATATATATTATTTTTTAAATATATTTTTTTTATTTACTGTAGATTGTTTTATTACATTTTTGGGTCTGATGAGAATTCTTATAAATTACGTATTTTTTTCACAACCGTGCTTAAGCAATCCCTGAATCAATTCTAGTGAGATGCCCTTCTCAGTGAGGCATTAATTTATTAAACTAAAATAATTTTTATAAGACAACTTCTAGAGGAAGCCTGAGGAGAAACATTGTGAAGGAGCAGCACTTCTTCTATGGAGACATGCTGACAGAGTTGGGGTGGTTCAGCTTGGAGAAGAGAAGGCTGTGGGGAGAACTTAAAGTGGCCTCCCAGTACCTAGTTGGGCTTCAGAAAAGCTGGAGAGCGGCTTTTGACAAGGGCTTGCTTGTAGTGTTAGGATGAGGGGGAATGTTTTCTCACTGGAAGCAGGTAGATTCAGGTTAGACATTAGGAGGAAATTCTTTAGTGTGAAAGTGGTGAGGCACTGGAACAGGGTGCCCAGGGTGCTCCCTCCCTGGAAATGCACCAAGTGGAGACTGGATGGAGCATCGAGCAATGTGGTCTAGTGGGGTGTGTCCCAGCCCATGCAGGGGTGTTGGAATTAGAGGTTCTTTAAGGTCCCTTCCAGCCCAAACCATTCTGTGATTCAAGCTGCAGTTTTAAGTCCTAATGTGGATGTGGTGATGCTGATTTGAGCATTTTGTTTGTGATGTGCAAGAGCTTTGGGAGATAAGGAGTCCCTGTTGCTTTCATTTATTATTAAAGATTAAAGTGTCTGTCACTTTTCTCTGGAAGACTACTTGGTGAATAAATAATTAAAGGTCTGATTCTGATATGCTTATTTGAAATGAGAGATACTTCTGCAAACAACTCAAATGCAGTAAATGGGATTTCTTCAAAATAAGCTTTCAAGATAAGTTATAGCATTCAAAGCTCAGTCAGAGCCAGTTCTTGTTTGTTAAGGCAGCAGGGTATTTTGTTTTATGTGCTTTAAAATCAAATCACACAGGCATTTAAAGCTTACACTCAATATCCGACATTGTCTGTCATGCCTAAACATGTTATCTTTAAAGCACAGTAGAAACTAGTCTTAAAATAATGGCTAGATAACCGTTCCCTGCTTATTCAAATAGCTGAAGAGAAACAAGTTGTTAATATGATGGTTCGTACAGCATAAAAGCTTTATAAAGCTTTGTGCTACCTAATGTGTATTTTATTTAAAATGTCTTTTTTATAGAGGATTTTTCTTTTATTTTTTCACTAAATTAGTATTTTTTTAAAGGGTTATGCTTAAATTATAGGGTTTTTTTCATAGTTTCTGAAACAACAGAAAAGGTTTGAGGGGAATTTTTTTTTAATACAACTGATTTTACATGCTTCTATTGTGTTTCAGTAATAAACTTGATTCCATAATAGTTGAAATAACTGTAAATATGCAAATCCGTTGCATCATTAGCAGGGAGAATTTAAATTTATTTTCCTATCTTGAAATTAACCTTTTACTACCGCATGGATATGTTTGTCATTTATCCCCTTTTTCTCAGGTGCAAAGAGGGCTACCAAGGAGTCCGCTGTGACCAATTTTTGCCGAAAACCGACTCAATCTTGTCAGATCCAAGTATGTCAAATGTTTTTCTTATCTTTTTATTCCATGCTGGAGGCTATTGCTGCCATTCGAGATGACCCTTTGCCTGTTGTCAGAAGCATATTATGGACCACTGCAGCTGTGTGTAGAGAACAGTGTTGCTTTTTTTGGTAGGATAAAAACCCATCCTCCAGTCTCTGTTCTTATAAAACATATGCTGCTGCAGCAGGGCAGGCCATCAGAGGACTTGATGACTTACGATTTCTAACAAAACTGTCCTTGCATATAGCAAAAATATTTATTTCTCTACTTTTGACACCGGAGCAAGTAAATTACATAAACTGAGAGGAAACAAAGTTCAGACTGAAAAGTGGTTCCTTGAAAAAAAAAAACAACACAAAAAAATAAATAATGTCTGGCACTGCAGAAATTATTATCTTCTTGAAAATATGTGGTGTCAGTTTACACAAAATTCAAATATTTTTTTCACTTTTACAAGTGAAGCTGCTCTGTGTTTGCAGAGTAAAGGTATACTTTGAGGTAGTACCGTCAACTTTCTGTTACGCTGCTCAGTATATTCCAGAATACCATCTGCATGTGCTCTCCTGCTCCACTGTGCTCTTAAAATTTTAGTGTCTACTAAAACTATCTTTAAAATATTAAATATTAATTTCATGTAAATTAATCCATTTACAAATGAATGTGTTTATATTAAAATTTTAAATGAAATGACATACAACAAAGGGTCATATTCAGTCTCTTGGTTTTGTTCTTATACTTGGAAACTAACGTATCAAGTCATCTCGTTTTGGGTGCTCTTTAAAGTTTCATTTAAGTTGCTTTGTGTTTTTTTGAAGAATAATGCTTTTTATTCTAGTCTTTTTCTGTGCTTTCTGTTTATTTTCTTGTGCTTTTCCATGTAAAAGCCTGTTGCCAAAGAAACCTGTTGTTTTGTAGTTCTCTCTGTTGTATAGCTGCAGTTACTGTTTGCTTTGTATTTGGTTTAGCTTTTCCTTTACCTTTCATGGCAAAGTGCAGAGCCTGTAATAAATAGGCAGATTTTAGCTTTGCCCAGTTGTATATGCATGTGTAAATATAGAAGTTTTGTATATGTCAAGGTAAAAGTTGGTTTGTATCCTAAAATTGGAGGTAAGGACAATCAATTAGCAACAGGATAGGGTGGTACCTGTCTGACTTGGTTTTAACAGGGGACTCGAGATTTACTCTCTCAAGAGGGGAGATGAAATTCATACAGATACAATACAAAAACCAGAGAAAACTCCCACATTAAGCACCATCTAACGAGACCAAAAGCCCTACACTGTTTATATATTGCAAACAGTAGTGTTACTGATTCTTTGCAGTATTGTGTTGGTTACACAGACTTGTTTCTCTTTACTTGTGAGATGCTTTCTTACTAAGGTTCATTTCTGACTGCATCATTTCTGTAAAATATTTCAACCACCTGATCCTGCTCAGTTAACAAAGGTTCTGTTGAAGTGCCCTTTATACACCTTGTAGCTACAAAGGTTATTTTATTATATTTTATTAAGATAAGTTATTATATTTTATTAAGTTTTTGAAGATGGCATTATTTAGAGTATGTAAGAGCAGGGGACCTGGGTTTCATATTGATGTAGAATCACTGAACAACCTGTGGCTCCTCTTCCAATACATATAACAAGGTTAAAACAAATTAGGTACTTTTCTAGTCCGTTTTGAAATTTAACTTCTATTTAATCCTTATCTGTATTCAAAAGATGAAAAGCTTCTGTTTAGGTGCCTTTCTGTGTTTTGGCATAGTGTGATATATGTCTATGTATGTACATGCGTGTGCATTCATTTTGAGCATGCTTAGCCTGAAAGAGAGGTATTAGAAACTTTCTGTTGCAGCTGAGCAGTGACAACATCAACATTTCTCTCAGGAGTTAAATGAATAATGTGTTTATCTCTCTTCTTGAGAGGCAAATATTGGTACACTGATAATTAGCAGTCAGAGGCAGAAATATTTGGTATTTGCGTAACATGAGCAGTGTAAATAGTATTTGATTCAGTAGCAAGGCACAATATGTTTATCTCCAAAGGTTCTGGTGTTGTTTCGCAAAAACTTAGTTTTGTAGTTTAATGTGTGTGTTCAGATTAGGAAGGACACTGAGGGGTGAATTTAGAGGTTGCTTCAGAAAGAAGCAGGGTTTTTTTAATGCAAGGCTTACTTTCCAAAAGTTGAACACTCAGATGAGTGCTCTTGTGTCTGGACCAGCACTGGCTGGTGTCAGTAAAGCTTTATAATCAAGTCCAGCTCATTTGAATTTCGTGCTTATATTGAAACTATTGCTTATAGTTTTCTGTACTAAATGTGTTCAGAACTGCTAACGATGCATCTGATAACAATTTTTAGCTTATTTGAAGTTTGTATGCATGAAATACTGAAGCAATATGTTCTTAATCTTACCTTGCCTGTGACAATGCTGGTTACGTTTTCAGAGCATTCACTTGTCATTAAATAGGAAATTAATCTAGACTATAGTCACTTCAAAAATAGCAGCAACTGTTAGTTATTTACCTGCACAAGAGTTGTTTAGTTTTTGTTTAGTTTTTTATTGCCCTGTAAAACAAACTAAGCTTGTTCAGCTTAGTTACCTGAATTTGCCTAGTGTCAAGTAATATTATATGGCTCTGCAATATTTTAACAGAATCAGGCCAAACTCAGCTTCTTCCCTCACATTAGGTGTATGTTAGGTAGATCTTGACTTTACATTACAGATATGAATACAAATTCTGCAATACTTAATATGGATTAATGCACACTGAATCATGTACCTGTAGTTTAATTACTAAACTATTAAGATATTTAGGATGCTGTTTTGGGAAGCCTCTTGAAACTGCCTGATGGTGTCTCAGAGTTCCTGAATTGGTGTCCAGGGCTTATTGCAGTCAGATCTGCCACCTGCTGCCTCCCTTCAGCTCAAAGTTTACGATCAAATTCTTAAGAAAACAGATGTAGGGGACACAGAGCAATGTCAAAACACCCCGAATACCAGCCCTTCTACTGGACATTTAGACATCACAGATGTTAACAGCTTCCACTTCCCTTAATTTCTCCACTCCTAACTAGGTTTTCTGCCTACAAGTGAAAAATGTTTTTAAAAAATCTTCAGACAAACAAATAAAAATCCAACAACCCAGAGCCCAAACACAAGTAGTTAGAGAAGAAGTTTGTTAATCTTGGAATTAACAGGAGGCAGAAGAACCTGCCTAAACCATGGGAGCCACAAGGTACCTAACAAAATTAATAACATCACAAATAAGACAAGAGGCTGCATGCTACATTACAGTGCAACCTGTGCTTACAGTCCCTATCAAGAGGATAGTCTGCTATTAACCATGCTAATATTGATCAGAAAAAGACCTTGAACTCCTTCTCAGTCATCTTCTCCTTCATCTCTCCAGGATGTACTAATGGGACAAAGGGAAAAGAAATAGCAGTCGCATGCTGGAAGGAAGGGATAGGAGTATATTTGAAGCATTGCTTGAGCTTTCTCCATCTGGGTGAACTTCTCTACAAATAAATACAGTTCATGGCAATGGTAGAGCACTTACATTTTCAATGTTATAAATACAACTATAATGTAACTTCATGTCAAAGGAATTTTTCAAGCATGTGTAGTCCTGTGTGTATTTATAGGATTGGGAACTCGTATATACAACATAAATTGTACAAATGTACTCATATACTATCCTTTGTAGTGTTCTGGAGTAGACCTGCCTGGCCCAACAAATCTTGAAAGGTAAGTTGTATGCAGGCTGTAGATATTTCTGTTTATCATTTTTTATGCTGAGGCAAAGTATAACCTTGAAAGCTTTCAGTGTTCTGTGAGGATATTCCAAAGTGGCAAGCAAGGCATTGAGGAGTCTATGTTGCTGCTTTTTTGCCAGATTGTTGAACTCTACCTTCATTATTTTTTTTTTCCTAATTTAACATTGAAAGCTGCTTTCCTATGCATAAAGTGTCTTTCAGTTTTATAATGTGCAGCATTATTTTTTTATTTGTCATATTAGCATTCAAGTTTTCCCATTTTATGTTCAGAAGCTTAAGGGAAGAGTGATCCCCTATCAAATATTGTAAATGTTACCTGATCCTTTTTTAAAATAAATGCATTATTTTCTAAAATAAAAAAAAAAAAAAATAGGATGGGAAGCTTATCGGTCATAAGGCCATGCTCCTATTGTTGCAGTCAACCCCATCATGTAATTTCTTCAATAAGCTGATAATACTTCATTTGTAAACTTCTTAAAGTCAGCACAAACTAGCCCCTAGAAGGAGGTTTTGTTTACCATCTCACCTCTGAGGTTTTCAAGACTTTCACACAAAATTTATTCACAGCCCAGTTTGTCAGTTATGTTCTTGGTTAAAAAGCATGCTTTGTTTCTACGTGGAATTTCCTTTTTTTTCATTGGTTTCCACCATGTTACACTATGGGTCTCTTAAACTGGCTTTTTGAAATGCCACAAGTCTTGTTCCCATAGAGCTGGTTTTAGCATGTGATCTTATAATACTTTAGCCTGTGACAGCATGGCACATGTCATGTTGCTTTAGAATCTCATCAAAGAGAAACCTGCAAGTTTCATGTCTGGAATCTGCAGTTACTTCTTCTTAGATAATGTCTCAATGTAGCAAAGGATTCAAATGGCACTCCTGGAAGACTGGGAAGGTAAATAAGTAAAACAAGTCTTTACAGTTTAAAAGGAAAAGACACTTTTCCAGAAATAGATTTGAAGACCCACACTTAGCTGCTCCAAAAACAAGTCCCACCCCCCAAAAAAACAAAACAAAACAAAAAATCTTGGAATCTTGGGCTTTCCCCCCCCCCTTTTTTTCTTTCTTGTTTGTTTTTTGATTTGGGGTTGCTTTTCTTTTTTGGGGGTTTGTTTTGGATTTTTGTTTGGTGTTGGGGTTTTTTCTTGTTTTTAATTTTTTTTCCAATACCCAGTTTTGTGTTTGTAAGATCACAGGATAATTTAGGTTGAAAAAG